GGAATGCGATCGTGTGAAATGGATGGGATGCTCAGTGTTCCCCGTTTTGGGTTGGCCAGCGTCACAGCCCGTGGTGCTGCCTGCCGGCGTTGGCGTGCATTGTTCGCAGAGGTGTCATTACTGATATCAGACTTGGTGGTGGGTCCACGGCAGCACTGTGGGTCCAGGCGCTGTGGAGATCGGGATTTCATGGGCTCACAGCTGATGGCTCCAGCTGGAGGAGGCTGCTCTCAGCTGTGGGGTCTCCACCAGTGCACAGCGACAAAGGGCCTTACAGACGCTCCTGTGAACATCTGGCGAGCGTGGGCACGGAGGACTGGAAGTGGCGACGATCTCCTTCCTTAGCAAGGAGGAGGCAGCAGAGATCTCCTCCTCTCTCCGAGCTGGTTCTTGTACCTGTTTCCCACAGAGCAGGGCTGGCTGGTGGGTGGTCAGAGCACGCAGACACGTGTGGAAGCAAAGAGGTAACAACCAGGCACTGGTGAATAACTGGTATCCAGATGCTTTTCCAGGCCACCCATTCACCATCAAACTGCTGCAGCTTACTGAATCTGATGGGGTTTGGCTTCTAACAGCAGAGGTAAATTTGAACATGTATTTTTAACCTCTCTACCATTGAAATCACACTTGATTTAAGCAGCTGCTGTTTGCAGGAACAGCTGTACTCCTGGTACGGTCTTTGCCAAGACTGAGGTTGGCCAAAGCATTTCTGTTACAGTAATGCTGGGAATGCTGCTATTACACAAATGCTTTAGCAGACCTGAGGTTTTACCTCATTTCATGTTTTTCCTATTCTCAGCAATATAATGAATGTGTGATGAACCATATGCCTCTCATTTACCCAAAGGTGTTCTTTGATCCCCTGTGCCTTCCTGTCTTTCTCTCTGGCTACATCAGATCAACTCAAAATAAATCTGAATAAAACCAACAGCAAATGAAAGGCTCCTTACCAGATGATCAACAGTCAATCTCACTTCTGAGATCACTTGTATAGCAAGGCCAAATGGGTGTTCCTCCTGCCTGGAGCCCACTAGGACTTTACTGGACTCTCAGTTTAAATCTGCTTTTCCACTGGCTGAAGACTTTCGGACACCCTCTGTCTATGGAGCGGTGGATTCGGTTCATTACTGACATGGATTGCATGCAGTAGGCTTCCCAGCGGTCTTCACAGCTGCTTCTGATAGACTGACACATGAACAATCCCTCCCATTGATCTGATGATGGCTGTCTGGTTTGCTCTGGGGAACATGTGGTTTACGCATGTGTGCAGGTGAGTGGCCATCCCTGTGACTGCTGGGCAAGGGGCATCTCTGTTTGCCCCAAGCGTGCCTGAATCCAAGGCAGGGGATCGCCCGTCCAAGCAGCCGGCCACAACGTCCTGTCTGCCTGTTCCGCCTCTGCAGTGGCACGTAGCAGGCGTCCCAGCACTGAGCAGCTCAGTCATAGTTCAAGCCTAAAAATAAGTTTTAGTTAGTGTCTTCTACTTTGTGGTCCCTTAAAACAGATTAGGTTCTGCACTCCCTTCACCCATCTGGTCTTTTTTTGCAGTAATTTCCAACAGAGATGTGAGTGGCACTGAATGCAGTTGTAGATCCCGGTATCTTTGTTAACCAGTACAGGGAGGATGCTGGCACAGCACTGCTGGGCCCTCGCCAGGCGCAAAGGGGGTCTGACCTGCGCTGCGCGTCCTTTTCCCAACGTGGTGCCGCAGCAGTACATACCTTCGCCTCTGTACCATAAAAATAAGCGGCTCTCCGGTTTTAGAGGATTTGCTGCCATCACATGAAGGTGCTGGGATAAAGAGAGCCGGCTCTGGGCGAAGGCTGCAGGCACTGAGGGCTGCAGCGCTCGCTGTGGGCGTTGCTGGGGTTTCCTCTGTGCGGATGGCAAGTGTCCCACGGGCGTGCGGACCGATGCGCTGCCGTGCCACCACCTTCTTCCATGCACTGTGCCTGGCAGCCTGGTTCTCTTTGCTCAGGTCAGGCTCTGGGCACAGCTGCAGCACAATGTGTGCATGTTGCAGGGCTGGGGAGCGGGGCGGCAGCATCGCTGTACGCTGCGAGTGCAGAAACAACCAGCCGGGAAAGCGTGACCATTTTCTGTCCAGGGAGCTGCAGAGCTGGAGTGGAATTAGTTCACCAGTAAGTGGTTATCAGAGTCCTCAAAGGGGGTCATTGCAATGGGAAAGCCACCTCTTCCTGCTAAGTCACAGCACACCCAAATTAGCATCGCTGTGTGCTCACTCTCCCCTTCCCCAGCCATCCCAGCTTTCCAGCAATAGGACTGCTGAGCCGGGCAGGGGTCTCCGTGTCTCTCTGCCTTCAGACTCCTCATTCCCAGGGGGGGTTAGCCAGAGCACCTGCAGCCTTCTCCATTAATGCTCTGTTCTTTGCCCAGTCCTGCGCTGGGTCTGGGACGGGGTCTGGGGCCAGGCACGGTTGAGAGGGACCGTGTCAACAGTTGTACCCGTCCCCTACTCACTGCACGGCTACAGTCACCTCGCTCTGGTGCGGGTGGTGGAGAGGTTTGTACACTATAAACGCGTTTGTCTGGGGCCCCAGACAAGGAAACTAGCCCTGCTCCTTGCTGGGGAAAAATCTGTTGCTGCATAAATACCATTGTACCGGCTGACCAAAAAAACCCCTAAACTCAAGAACAGTAAGAACATCGCATCTTTAAAAATTCCCCAAAGACTTCTAAAACTGTCTCTCCTTTCCCCTCTTCCTCTGTAAACAGAGGCACAGTCGCAGCTTAATCACTACCAGGAATGGAAAAATCTTTAATTACTTGATAGCAGAATTTCATAAAACTTCTAAGTATGAACAGCCTTCCCCGCCCCTGGCGCAACTATTCTGGCACAGCCCCTTAAGGATTGCTGCATGGACAACTTGTCCTGTCTGAGTTGCAGGCATGTAAAAATAAATATTTCAAGGTCAAATATTTAAGGAATTAAAAAAAAGAAAAGTGTATTTATTTAGCACAGCCTAAATTGACACTTAATTTTTGTAATACTTAAAAAACAATCGAGGGTTTCTCTGCGTGCTTTGCAAGCTTTAGAAGGCTGTGACCCTCAGTTTGACGAACACGGCTCAGCAGAAGGGGAGCATTTAACTCACAGGTGCCCACAGAAAGCAGCCTCCGAGCCAGCCCCAGCTGGGAAGACCCGAACACCACGTCCAGGCAGTGCCACGCGGAGCTGGTCTCTGCCACCACACCAACGACAGACGCAGCTCTCACTGGGCATCAACAGCCCGTGATGGCCACATCAGGCTGCAGAGACCGGACAGACAAACCGAACAGACTTCTACAAACACTCGCAACGCGCTGTTTTGCCAATGCCTTTGCTTTTGCCCAAGAAGCTACACCCACCCGACACCTACAGCAGCGCACACCACGCGGTTCCCACCTGGCAGCCTGTCCCTGCACTGCGGCTCCTCCGGCTCAAACACAGCCCAGGGCCCCTCCAGCAGCCCTGCAGCTCAGCTCGCCCACGGGGCACAGCCTCGCAGCACCCCTGCCCTCCTGAGGGCCAGTCAAGCAGCAGCAGCCTGAGGAAGAAAAAAGCCAACCAGCAACACAAGTTGTTTGAAGGAACAACGTTTTTTTTTTTAATAAAGTGTACAAAGTAGTAAAACTTAACACGAGGCGCTGTGACAGCTGTTACAGAGATGATTCGGGCTCCCCCATGGGCCTCGTGGTGAAACGCTGACGAGCACTGGGTGGAGACGGAGTACATGACCATGACACAGACCCACTGGTCCCCACCAGCTCCCTCCCGTCCCACACCGCGCCTCCGGCCGGCACCCACCGCTTTGCCTGCGGGGCCGCTCCACCCACATGGGGTTGTTCCCGCTGTCCCACACCGTGGCATCCCACACGCGTTCAACACGAATAACACACTGAACCGAGCAACCTGTCTGAGCGGCATGCATACAGAAAGGAAGAGTAAAAACACAACCCGACCGAACCCACAACAACAACAACAGAATTTTAAGGCTATGCATAAACCAAAATGAAGCAGTATCTTTAAAGCTAGGTAGCAAGTAGCATTTGTGAAACATAAGGCTTGAGGCTTATTGATTCTTCAGAACAGGTTTATTTGCTTTTCCTTCTTAAACACCAATGTACCATTTTTCTTCCTTCGCTTGAACAGGGGTTTTGTTTCCTTCTCAGCAGGGACATTTAACTCAGGGAGGTTATGTTGGAGCGGCCTCCCGGGGGTGCGACGATGCGCTTGCTCGCCGAGCGAACGCCTTCATCAACCTGGGTACCTGGGAGGGGACAAGAAAGCACAAGGGGAAGGGGGAAACAGAAGTTAAGAGCATTTTCTCCACAGGACTGAGCAGTCAGGCAGCCTGGGGTCTCACTGAAGGGCCTCCTGAGGCTGTCTACAGCAACCTGTTCCCTCTCCAATTCCAGTAACCACCCCGAGAGCAGCAGTGGCTTGAGCATCTCTACTGAAGATGCTCCTCCGTGGACAGCCCCATGCAGCAAGACCAGGGTCTCGTGCGGTGCTGGCTCCTCCGTGGCCACAGTCTGCCTTGCTTCGACTGCAAGGTGCAGCAGGGTGGAGGGCCAGCTCCGGCCATGTCCTTTAAGGAACACACAGGGTCTCACTCTGCCACGATCCACTCGTGCTCAGCTTGCCTCCGGCCATCTCCCAGCTGCTCCCGCCCCAGGCCAGGGGCCAGACAGCATGGTCAGTGGCCCTGAGCTCTCCCAGCCCAGCCACTG